CAGCGTAGAGTGGGTGGGATCCGAAGCGAGGAAAGATGCGAGGGGGAGCAAGAGCCTCTGGTGAGGGGTCCGCATTCCACAGACAATGTCACGTTTTTTAATCCCCGTTTTACTTTATTTGTGCTGGCTTCGGCCGCGAGGAGGGCCCCCAAACAGTTAAGCTCGACTTCTGTCCTTAGAGAGCGGATTCCTGGGAACGGTGTCTGCGCCCATTTTCCAACGACCATTCCTCCTCGCCCACATCCGTCGTCGACGAAGAGGATCCTTCCAACGTGAACGTACTACTACACCCGACGTGTGTGACCAACGGAGCAAGGAGTCCGTTAATCTGTTAACCGGCCGACATACCTTTGTTTCTTTTTCATTTTCTTTCGAGGGGAAAAGCCCGCGAAATTCGAATCGAGGACCGATTTCAAAATCGTTCGCCCGAACCTCGTTGAAACGTGGATACCAGATAATTTCTATATGGATGTAAATACCATGACGTAACAGAATGTAAATGTTATTGGTCGTGACGGATAAGAAAAGAGGGGGGGTGGGAGAGATAGACAGATAGACAGAGATAGTCGGCTGGACAGAGTTAGCGAGAGAAGCGAAGCAACAGAGGCGAGATTCGTCCTCCCCGGTTAACAGGTTAATCGGATAGATAAGAAAATCACCGGAGAGTCGTCCGGCTCTCCCCCTCCGTTCGGATATCGGTTTTCGTGGCTGCCGACCGATACAGTAGAAGAGGAGATCCACGCGGGATCACCGGGATCGGCCAGCCGACGGATATGTCCGCTGTCGAGAGCGCCTTGGACGTACTCTCCAGGGCGGCCACGATGGTCCAAGGTCAGTCCCTAGCAACTTGCTACGCGAATCAGACTGGTGTATCGTAGGGAGATGGCTCGACTATGCCAGGCTGAGGAATGTGGGTCTGATCGCTGGCTTCTTAGATGTTACTTTTCTATTCGTTGATTAACCCGTCGCCTTATGATTTACTCGTCGACTGTGTTCGGCGAAAGAACATTGTCGTCGATAACAGAGAAACGAATGTTATACTTATTTTCTGTCTACTGTTACTTTAACGGTTAGAGATTAACCCTTTGCACTCGCTATATACATGTAATATCAAGCTTCTTACAATCCACGAATATGTGAAATATTGAAATAACTTTGTTTCTTAACTCACGTCTAGAACTCGTTAGAAGCTGTTGAACATTTCTAGTGAAAGACTCGTGCAAAGGGTTAATAATAGACAGGTAACAGTTGATTTCTATTAAGAACGAATAACACTCGGATCTGTCGGATTCCCTTTGAAATTTCCATCGACGGTCTGACACGTTCCAAGGCAAGGGGCTGAAACGGTTACGTTGTAAACGAACAAATGGAAACTGTAAACAGATGCACGGCAGACCCATCTCGCCAGCCTTAGACGCACACCGAGGGATCCCTCTACAGCTTGAGGGTGGTATGACGTTGCTTCTTATTCCTTCTTCGTTTCCGTCTATTTCCCTTCTCGCATTGCGCCATTCGTTTCGCGGGTCTCCGGTATCAGGACAATCGATCCCGGATCACACGGAGCCGCACGGTTATTTCTGTTTGGACGAACCGACCTCATTGTTCGAACGGTATAATCATCCCGCCCGGAGAGAGAGGATTTATGTAAGAGGAGAGCGAGGGAAAGGGAGTGAGGAGAGGAGAGCTCTCCCCGCGATATTCCGCCCCGGAGAGACCGCATTCCTGCCAATTGCCAATTTCACGTCGAATTAGATAACATTGTGCGGTGTTTATTTTAGATTCCCCGCATCTTCGAGCCGCGTTGTTGGCAACATGTAACCTCGCGCGCACTTTGTGCCTCCCGCTCGCTGCTGCCGCCGCCGCCGCCGCTGCTGATGTTGCTACCGGGTGTCTCCTCGGCGTTCCTTCTCTCGCTCCGTCATCCGTCCACGCCGTGCACTATCCTCTCTTCTTCCTGCGACCGTTGTAACGCACGTGTTCCCCTAGCGTTGCGGAGGCACACGCACGTGACCGCGGGAAAACAGCAAATGCTCCCTGTCGTTGATACTGGTGCTGTATATTCTTCTTCTTCTTCTTTTCTCTCTCTCTCTCTCTCTCTCTCTCTCTCTCTCTCTCTCTCTCTCTCTGTCTCTTCCTCACCCTATCTT